ATAAATTATATACTTTTATAGAAATTTAAAGTATTTATTATTCCTGAATATACTACTTGAAAATCTTCCCTATCATCTGGAGTGGGGTTTCGATCTCCCCTTAAGGATCCTACTGACATCCAGACCAGAGCCAGGTTATTTTATGGCTCTACCTGTGTGAGGGTGCTATTTAAAGATATCGGATTTACTCTGTATTTATCAAATTATCTGCACTATTGTGTTTCCCTCTCTTTCTGTTTCAGCTTTGTTGGCTGTATTTTGAAGAGAGGGAAGTATTTTACATCTCCACCTATTTTTGTGTATAGCATTCGGAATATATGTCTGTATTTCTAACGCTATGGTTTTCATTTAGGGCTGTGTGCAAATAAAAAAATTATTCGGCATGGGAGGGCTGTACTTAAAGGACCACTGCAGCATATTATCTAGGCCCAAACCTGTCCAGTAGATTAAAGTTCTATTAGTGCCCAAAATGTCTCTTTAATTTTACATTTTATGATATTTAGGAAATACATCCCTGAATTACTATTAACGACTACATTGGCTTGGATAAACAGTATGTTAGGTGGGGAGGGGGTCATCATTTAGCTGGAGCAAGGAGCGGACTACCTGTACAGAGCCTGCTAACAGAGGGGGTCGAGCACTTTGGACCAGGGCAATGGACACTGCGAGGTCTAGTTATCATATGCAAGGCACGGATTATTGTTAGGTGTTTATATACTGCACATTTAATTTTGCTTACCCTGGCATTCAAGATTTTTCTAAATTACATAGTGCAGGGTACTCAGCCAGACAACATGGGAGTTACAGCGTCTACGAGGCAGAAGTTTGTGACAAATATAAATCTTCTGTACTTAAAGGGATACTGTAGGCAGTATAACCATAATCGAGCAGTTTTACACTGAAAGAGGGGCCCTGGCAACCAATAGCCCCGCCCCTGGAGGTGTAGGTAAAGCAGAAATGAAACACTTCCTTTTAGCCATACCGATTCATACCAGCAATGGGTGCTGTGATAGGCTGAAAGCGGTCAGCCAACACTCTCAGCCAATCAGTGCAGTACGAAGAGCTAAGTGCCGTAGGTGCAAAACATGGGTATTTGCATTTAAAGGGACACTGTAGTCACCTGAAGAACTTTAGCTTAATGAAGCAGTTTTGGTGTATAGAACATGCCCCTGCAGCCTCACTGCTCAATCCTCTGCCATTTAGGAGTTAAATCCCTTTGTTTATGAATTCTAGTCACACCTCCCTGCATGTGACTTGCACAGCCTTCCATAAACACTTCCTGTAAAGAAGTTTTCTTTATTGCAAGTTCTGTTTAACTAAGATTTTCTTATCCCCTGCTATGTTAATAGCTTGCTAGACCCTGCAAGAGCCTCCTGTATGTGATTAAAGTTCAATTTACAGATTGAGATACAATTATTTAAGGTAAATTACATCTGTTTGAAAGTGAAACCAGTTTTTTTTTCATGCAGGCTCTGTCAATCATAGCCAGGGGAGGTGTGGCTAGGGCTGCATAAACAGAAACAAAGTGATTTAACTCCTAAATGACAGTGAATTGAGCAGTGAAATTGCAGGGGAATGATCTATACACTAAAACTGCTTTATTTAGCTAAAGTAATTTAGGTGACTATAGTGTTCCTTTAAGAAATACTAAAAAAAATTATAGTCTAATTTTATTTTATGCATATTTTGAGCACATTATCTACATAATACTTTAAAACCTGTAAGCTCATTTGAGCTGGACCTTCGCTACTTCTTCCTTTAAGTCAAACTTGTGAATCAATTGTACGGCGCTGCTGAAAATGTGGGTACTTTATAAATGATAAAACAATTGTAAAGAAATACAATTTGAAAAGTGAGGCTGTGGGACGTGGGACGTGGAGTTGAAGCTGCCATGGTGCATGCAGTGACCCCTTAACAAAAGTCAGGGTCAATTCCATACTGAACTGTCTGTGTAAACAAATTGCAGTGAGTTTATTTACTCATGGTGGCAAGGACATATAAGGTATCCTTGCATTTTTTTGACTGCTCCAAATACTTTTCAAAGTTTAGTTTGGGGCACGTATAAAATCCTACTTCCCCGAGTCCTGCAACTGTTACACAGAAGATACAGAAAGAGCTATAAAGTATGTTAGTTACGTGTAGCTGAAGTTCCTCCGAGCTGTGGATGTTGACTTCTACAGACAAAGCTCCATCATTCTGGTCTGCGGCCTCGTAGGACGATATGTCTACACTCTGGTCCTTGACTTCCAGGGATTGGAGAGGTTCGTTGGGAGGCAGTGGTTCCAGCTTGCTAGTCCTGGACTGACCACTGGGCGGAGCTTGCAAGGATTGGATGGTAAAGGTAGAGTATAGTCCTGAGCGCATGTACTCGTTTCGACTGGTCTTGGAGCTGCTCCTCACCATTTTAGGGACATACGCAGAGTTTTCAGCAAGTTTGGGGAGCGGGCTCAGGTCCGTCACAGACTCTCTACATTTTCCCTCGTCTTTCGAAGTGTCAGTGCTGCCAGGGTCCGGGTAACAGACAAATTTATACACAAATTTCTGCCCGCTCACTTTCTTAATAATGTTCTGTAAGAAGAAATAAACGCCATTAATGCACCAGAATTCCTACGTTGATCCAGCGGTGACGAGGTGTCCTCATGTGCAATTCATGAATTAGAGAGAAAGAGACAGCGTTATATCACCTCGTACCACAAACAATGGCAGGGGATGCCTTTACTAAAATGGAAACTGCAGACTGCTGATCAGAAAATTGCAAAGCTTAAATAGCCATTATAAATATTGTGTAAAAAGTCATTTTGGAGAATTTTCTTTAATTTTGCTATTTTAACCTAAAATTTGCACTTTCTTTGTCGTGAAAAGTAATTTTATGAATGACCTTGCTCGTCTCAGCCATACTCAGCACACACTAAACATTTGTCACAGTCTTACTGAGCGCACAATCAAAGTTACTCACAACCATGCCTACTCAATGTGGGATCTCAATCACTAATGGGTTCTTACACTCCAGAGACCATTTGTCCATTCCAGGTGAGGCAACATTTGGGCATGGGTAAAGTCTTCAAATCCTGAGTGATACATGTTAGTGGAGACTTTGCACGAGTTTAAACATTACCTCATGTGTTGTGTGCCCTAGCTATGAGTTTCTGGGTCTCAACACTAGGCCACATACCAGATTTGTACGTGCAGGGGCTCCCTGCTACGCTCACTCACCTTGTCGTAATAATATCTCAGGGCTCGGCTTAGCTTGTCGTAGTTCATGTTAGTTTTATTCTTCCGGAGACCCCAGAGCCGCGCTACTTCCTCAGCGTCTAGGAGTTTGAATTCACCATCGTTGGATGTCCATGAAATGAGGTGCCGATGAGACTCTTCCTCCAGTAACTGCAGGAGAAACTGCCAGAGAGTACCAGAGGGGTCCATCGCTGCCAGAGGGGGAACATAACATGAGACAGGGCTTCTAGGCCCTAGTAAAGAGACAGCATGACACAGAGTATACCATGGAAAGAGAGAACGTGACAGAGAGAGCAGCCATGGAAAGTGATAATGTGACAGAGGGCACAGTAACATATAGAGACAGCATGACAAAAAAAATAAGTCAGAAAGATTGTGCAATAAGAGCGAGTGAGGTCCAGCGAGAATAAGAATATATATTGCAGTGTGAGAGCATGAGAGAGAATGTATCCCAGTATGAGATAGTATATATCCAGTTGTAGAGCGTGTGACTGTGACCGAATATATATCCTAATATGAAAGTACTGGTGAAAGACAGTATGAAAGACAGTAAGAGTCGCAGACTTTTGAGAGTGCAGGTCCAAGTGTGACAGTGCCACTGAGATTCAGACTGTGAGAGTGCCCATCTCAGTGTGAGAGTCACAGACTGTCAGAGTGCCAGTCTCAGTGTGAGTTTCACATACTGAGAGAGTGCCAGTCTCAGTGTGAGAGTCACATACTGAGAGAGTGCCAGTCTTAGTGTGAGAGTCACATTCTGAGAGAGTGCCAGTCTCAGTGTGCTAGTCGCAGATTGTGACAGTGCCAGTCTCAGTGTGAGTGTCATTGTCTCAGCGTGAAAGTGCCAGTCTCAGTGTGGCCCTGACTGTGGGAGTGTCAGTCTCAGTGTGAGTTTCACATACTGAGAGAGTGCCAGTCTCAGTGTGAGAGTCACATACTGAGAGAGTGCCAGTCTTAGTGTGAGAGTCACATTCTGAGAGAGTGCCAGTCTCAGTGTGCTAGTCGCAGATTGTGACAGTGCCAGTCTCAGTGTGAGTGTCATTGTCTCAGCGTGAAAGTGCCAGTCTCAGTGTGGCCCTGACTGTGGGAGTGTCAGTCTCAGTGTGAGTTTCACATACTGAGAGAGTGCCAGTCTCAGTGTGAGAGTCACATACTGAGAGAGTGCCAGTCTTAGTGTGAGAGTCACATTCTGAGAGAGTGCCAGTCTCAGTGTGCTAGTCGCAGATTGTGACAGTGCCAGTCTCAGTGTGAGTGTCATTGTCTCAGCGTGAAAGTGCCAGTCTCAGTGTGGCCCTGACTGTGGGAGTGTCAGTCTCAGTGTGAGAGTCGCAGACTCTGAGTGCCATTCTCAGTGTGAGAATCACAGACTGCGAGAGTGCCAGTTTCAGTGTGAGAATCACAAACTGTGAGAGTGTCAGTCTCAGTGTGATAGATGCAGACTGTGAGAGTGCCAGTCTCAGTTTGTTTCACAGACTGTGAGAGTGACAATCTCAGTGTAAGAGTCGCAGAGTGTGAGAGTATCAGTCTTAGTGTGAGAGTTGCAGACTGCGAGAGTGCCAGTCTTTGTGCTAGTCGCATACTGTGAGAATAGAAACTGTGAGAGTGCCATTCTCAGTGTGAGAGTAGCAGACTGTGAGATTGCCATTCTCAGTGTGAGAATCACAAACTATGAGAGTGTCAGTCTCAGTGTGATAGTCCGAGACTATTAGAGTGCCAATCTCTGTGTGAAAGTATCATGCTGTGAGAGAGCCAGTCTCAGTGTGAGAGTTCCATACTTTGGGAGTGGCAGTCTTAGTGTGAGAGTCGCAAACTATGAGAGTTGCAGACTGCAAGAGTGCCAGTTTCAGTGAGAGTCACAGACTGTGATAGTGCCAGTCTCAGTATAAGTCACAGACTGTGAGAGTGCCAGTCTCAGTGAGAGTAGCAGACTGTGAGAGTGCCAATCTCAGTGTTAGAATCACAGGTTGTTACAGTGCCAGTCTCAGTGTGAGAGACACATACTGAGAGAGTGCCAGTCTCAGTGTGATAGTTGCAGATTGTGACTGTGCCAGTCTCAGTGTGTCCCTGACTGTGGGAGTTCTAGTCTCAGTGTGAGAGTATCAGCCTTAGTGTGAGAGTTGCAGACTGTGAGAGTGCCAATCTCAGTGTGAGAGTCTCATACTGAGAGAGTGCCAGTCTTAGTGTGATCATTGCAGATTGTGACTGTGCCAGTCTCAGTGTGAAAGTCAAAGTCTCAGTGTGAAAGTGCCAGTCTCAGTGTGAGAGTCGCAGAGTGTGAGAGTATCCGTCTTAGTGTGAGAGTTGCAGACTGTGAGAGTGCCAGTCTCAGTGAGAGTAGCAGACTGTGAGAGTGCTAGTCTCAGTGTGAGAGTAGCAGACTGTGAGAGTGCCATTCTCAGTGTGAGAATCACAAACTGTGATAGTGTCGGTCTCAGTGTGATAGATGCAGACTGTGAGAGTGCCAGTATCAGTGTAAGAGTCCCAGAGTGTAAGAGTATCAGTCTTAGTGTGAGAGTTGCAGACTGTGAGAGTGCCAGTCTTTGTGCTAGTCGCATACTGTGTCAGTTTCAGTGTGATAGTCCGAGACTATGAGAGTGCCAGTCCCTGTGTGAAAGTATCATGCTGTGAGAGTGCCAATTTCAGTGTTAGAATCGCAGGTTATGACAGTGCCACAACCTGAGAGAGTTCCAGTCTCAGTGTGATAGTCGCAAATTGTGACTGTGCCAGTTTCAGTGTGTCCCTGACTGTGGGAGTGCTAGTCTCAGTGTGAGAGTCACAGAATGTGAGAGTATCAGCCTTAGTGTGAGAGTTGGAGACTGTGATAGTGCCAATCTCAGTGTTAGAATCACAGGTTGTTACAGTGCCAGTCTAGTGTGAGAGTCACATACTGAGAGAGTGCCAGTCTCAGTGTGAGAGTCACATACTGAGAGAGTGCCAGTCTCAGTGTCATAGTCGCAGATTGTGACTGTGCCAGTCTCAGTGTGAAAGTCATAGTCTCAGTGTGAAAGTGCCAGTCTCAGTTTGAGAGTGCCAGTCTCTGTGTGAATGTATCATGCTATGAGAGTGCCAGTCTCTGTGTGAAAGTATCATGCTGTGAGAGTGCCAGTCTCAGTGTGAGAGTCATAGTTTCAGTGTGAATCGCAGACTGTGAGAGTGCCAATCTCAGTGTTAGAATCACAGGTTGTGACAGTGCCAGTCTCAGTGTGATAGTCGCAAACTGTGAGAGTTGCAGACTGTGAGAGTGCCAGTTTCAGTGGGAGTCGCAGACTGTGAGAGTGCCAGTCTCAGTATAAGTCACAGACTGTGAGAGTGCCAGTCTCAGTGAGAGTCACAGACTGTGAGAGTGCCAATCTCAGTGTTAGAATCACAGGTTGTGACAGTGCCAGTCTCAGTGTGAGTGTCACATACTGAGAGAGTGCCAGTCTCAGTGTGATAGTCGCAGATTGTGACTGTGCCCCTGACTGTGGGAGTGCTAGTCTGATTGTAAGTCACAGAGTGTGAGAGTATCAGTCTTAGTGTGAGAGTTGCAGACTGTGAGAGTGCCAGTCTCAGTGAGAGTAGCAGACTGTGAGAGTGCCATTCTCAGAGTGAGAGTAGCAGCCTGTGAGAGTGCCATTCTCAGTTTGAAAATCACAAACTGTGAGAGTGTCAGTCTCAGTGTGATAGATGCAGACTGTGAGAGTGCCAGTATCAGTGTAAGAGTCCCAGAGTGTGAGAGAATCAGTCTAGTGTGAGAGTTGCAGACTGTGGGAGTGCCAGTCTTTGTGCTAGTCGCATACTGTGAGTGTCAGTTTCAGTGTGATAGTCCGAGTCTATAAGAGTGCCAGTCTCTGTGTGAAAGTATCATGCTGTGAGAGTACCAGTCGCAGTGTGAGAGTCATAGTTTCAGTGTGAGTTGCAGACTGTGAGAGTGCCAATCTCAGTGTTAGAATCACAGGTTGTGACAGTGCCAGTCTCAGTGTGATAGTTGCAAACTGTGAGAGTTGCAGACTGTGAGAGTGCCAGTTTCAGTGAGAGTCGCAGACTGTGAGTGTGCTAGTCCCAGTATAAGTCACAGACTGTGAGACTGCCAGTCTCAGTGAGAGTCGCAGACTGTGAGAGTGCCAATCTCAGTGTTAAAATCACAGGTTGTGACAGTGCCAGTCTCATACTGAGAGAGTGCCAGTCTCAGTGTGATAGTCGCAGATTGTGACTGTGCCAGTCTCAGTGTGTCACAGACTGTGGGAGTGCTAGTTTCAGTGTGAGAGTCACAGACATCTGAGAGTGCCATTGTCAGTGTGAGAGTATCAGTCTTAGTGTGAAAGTTGCAGACTGTGAGAGTGCCAGTCTTTGTGCTAGTCACAGATTGTGAGAGTGCCAGTCTCAGTGTGATAGTCGCAAACTGTGAGAGTTGCAGACTGTGAGAGTGCCAGTTTCAGTGGGAGTCGCAGACTGTGAGAGTGCCAGTCTCAGTATAAGTCACAGACTGTGAGAGTGCCAGTCTCAGTGAGAGTCACAGACTGTGAGAGTGCCAATCTCAGTGTTAGAATCACAGGTTGTGACAGTGCCAGTCTCAGTGTGAGTGTCACATACTGAGAGAGTGCCAGTCTCAGTGTGATAGTCGCAGATTGTGACTGTGCCCCTGACTGTGGGAGTGCTAGTCTGATTGTAAGTCACAGAGTGTGAGAGTATCAGTCTTAGTGTGAGTTGCAGACTGTGAGAGTGCCAGTCTCAGTGAGAGTAGCAGACTGTGAGAGTGCCATTCTCAGTTTGAAAATCACAAACTGTGAGAGTGTCAGTCTCAGTGTGATAGATGCAGACTGTGAGAGTGCCAGTATCAGTGTAAGAGTCCCAGAGTGTGAGAGAATCAGTCTAGTGTGAGAGTTGCAGACTGTGGGAGTGCCAGTCTTTGTGCTAGTCGCATACTGTGAGTGTCAGTTTCAGTGTGATAGTCCGAGTCTATAAGAGTGCCAGTCTCTGTGTGAAAGTATCATGCTGTGAGAGTACCAGTCGCAGTGTGAGAGTCATAGTTTCAGTGTGAGTTGCAGACTGTGAGAGTGCCAATCTCAGTGTTAGAATCACAGGTTGTGACAGTGCCAGTCTCAGTGTGATAGTTGCAAACTGTGAGAGTTGCAGACTGTGAGAGTGCCAGTTTCAGTGAGAGTCGCAGACTGTGAGTGTGCTAGTCCCAGTATAAGTCACAGACTGCGAGACTGCCAGTCTCAGTGAGAGTCGCAGACTGTGAGAGAACCAATCTCAGTGTTAAAATCACAGGTTGTGACAGTGCCAGTCTCATACTGAGAGAGTGCCAGTCTCAGTGTGATAGTCGCAGATTGTGACTGTGCCAGTCTCAGTGTGTCACAGACTGTGGGAGTGCTAGTTTCAGTGTGAGAGTCACAGACATCTGAGAGTGCCATTGTCAGTGTGAGAGTATCAGTCTTAGTGTGAAAGTTGCAGACTGTGAGAGTGCCAGTCTTTGTGCTAGTCACAGATTGTGAGAGTGCCAGTCTCTGTGTGATAGTCGCAAACTGTGAGAGTTGCAGACTGTGAGAGTGCCAGTTTCAGTGGGAGTCGCAGACTGTGAGAGTGCCAGTCTCAGTATAAGTCACAGACTGTGAGAGTGCCAGTCTCAGTGAGAGTCACAGACTGTGAGAGTGCCAATCTCAGTGTTAGAATCACAGGTTGTGACAGTGCCAGTCTCAGTGTGAGTGTCACATACTGAGAGAGTGCCAGTCTCAGTGTGATAGTCGCAGATTGTGACTGTGCCCCTGACTGTGGGAGTGCTAGTCTGATTGTAAGTCACAGAGTGTGAGAGTATCAGTCTTAGTGTGAGAGTTGCAGACTGTGAGAGTGCCAGTCTCAGTGAGAGTAGCAGACTGTGAGAGTGCCATTCTCAGAGTGAGAGTAGCAGCCTGTGAGAGTGCCATTCTCAGTTTGAAAATCACAAACTGTGAGAGTGTCAGTCTCAGTGTGATAGATGCAGACTGTGAGAGTGCCAGTATCAGTGTAAGAGTCCCAGAGTGTGAGAGAATCAGTCTAGTGTGAGAGTTGCAGACTGTGGGAGTGCCAGTCTTTGTGCTAGTCGCATACTGTGAGTGTCAGTTTCAGTGTGATAGTCCGAGTCTATAAGAGTGCCAGTCTCTGTGTGAAAGTATCATGCTGTGAGAGTACCAGTCGCAGTGTGAGAGTCATAGTTTCAGTGTGAGTTGCAGACTGTGAGAGTGCCAATCTCAGTGTTAGAATCACAGGTTGTGACAGTGCCAGTCTCAGTGTGATAGTTGCAAACTGTGAGAGTTGCAGACTGTGAGAGTGCCAGTTTCAGTGAGAGTCGCAGACTGTGAGTGTGCTAGTCCCAGTATAAGTCACAGACTGTGAGACTGCCAGTCTCAGTGAGAGTCGCAGACTGTGAGAGTGCCAATCTCAGTGTTAAAATCACAGGTTGTGACAGTGCCAGTCTCATACTGAGAGAGTGCCAGTCTCAGTGTGATAGTCGCAGATTGTGACTGTGCCAGTCTCAGTGTGTCACAGACTGTGGGAGTGCTAGTTTCAGTGTGAGAGTCACAGACATCTGAGAGTGCCATTGTCAGTGTGAGAGTATCAGTCTTAGTGTGAAAGTTGCAGACTGTGAGAGTGCCAGTCTTTGTGCTAGTCACAGATTGTGAGAGTGCCAGTCTCTGTGTGAGAGTATCATACTGTGAGAGTGCCAGTCTCAGTGTTATAGTCACAGACTGTGAGAGTGCCAGTCTCAATGTTATAGTCACAGACTGTGAGAGTGCCAGTCTCAGTGTGGGCAAACTGTCAGAGTGTCAGTCTCAGTGTGGACAGACAGAGTGTGGCAGTCTGAGTGTGGGCAGACTGTGAGACTGCCAGTCTGAGTGTGAGCAGTTTATGTGAGTGCCAGCCTCAGTGTGGGCAGGCTGTGAGAGTGTCAGTCTCAGTGTGGGCAGACTGTGAAAGTGCCAGTCTCGGTGTGGACAGGCTGTGTGAGTGCCAGTCTCAGTGTGGGCAGATTGTGAGAGTGTCAGTCTCAGTGTGGGCAGGCTGTAAGAGTGCCAGTCTCAGTGTGGGCAGATTGTGAGAGTGTCAGTGTGGGCAGACTGTGAGCGTGCCAGTCTCAGTGTGGGCAGGCTGTGAGAGTGTCAGTCTCAGTGTGGGCAGACTGTGAAAGTGCCAGTCTCAGTGTGGACAGGCTGTGTGAGTGCCAGTCTCAGTGTGGGCAGATTGTGAGAGTGTCAGTCTCAGTGTGGGCAGGCTGTAAGAGTGCCAGTCTCAGTGTGGGCAGATTGTGAGAGTGTCAGTGTGGGCAGACTGTGAGCGTGCCAGTCTCAGTGTGGGCAGACTGAGAAAGTGCCAGTATCAGTGTGGGAAGACAGAGTGTAGACAGTGTGGCAGTCTCAGTGTGGGCAGACTGTGAGAGTGCCAGTCTCAATGTGGAAGACTGTGAGAGTGCCAGTCTCAGTGTGCCAGTCTCAGTGTGGGCAGACTGTAAGAGTGCCAGTCTCAGTGTGGGAAGACAGAGTGTGCCAGTCTCAGTGTGGGCAGAATATGAGAGTGCCAGTCTCAGTGTGGGCAGACTGTGAGAGTGTCAGTCAGCGAGGGCAGACAGAGTGTGGCAGTCTCAGTGTGGGTAGACTGTGAGAGTGCCAGTCTCAGTGTGGGCAGTCTTAGTGTGTGAGTGCCAGTCTAAGTGTGGGCAGACAGAGTGTGGCAGTCTCAGTGTGAGAGTGCCAGTCTATGTGTGGGCAGTCTGTGAGAGTGCCAGTCTCAGTGTGGGCAGACAGAGTGTGGGCAGTCTCAGTGTGAGAGTGCCAGTCTAACTGTGGTCAGTCTGTGAGAGTGCCAGTCTAAGTGTGGGCAGTCTGTGAGAGTGCCAGTCTCAGTGTGGGCAGACAGAGTGTGGCAGTGTTGTTGATGAGGAGGATGATGAAGGCTGAGGACCAAGGCAAGTTCTTACCTGATACCATGCCTCTCATCACACTCCATATCACAGCACTCTCTGTCTCACATTCCATGTTATATCACAGCACTCTCTGTCTCACATTCCATGTTATATCACAACACTCTCTCTCTCACTCTCCCCCACACTCCATATCACAGCACTCTCTGTCTCCCATTCCATGTTAATATCACAGCACTCTCTGTCTCACATTTCATGTTATATCACAGCACTCTCTGTCTCACATTCCATGTTATATCACAGCACTCTCTGTCTCACTCTCTCCCACACTCCATATCACAGCACTCTCTGTCTCACATTCCATGTTATATCACAGCACTCTCTGTCTCACTCTCTCCCACACGCCATATCACAGCACTCTCTGTCTCACATTCCATGTTATATCACAGCACTCTCTGTCTCACTCTCTCCCACACTCCATATCACAGCACTCTCTGTCTCACATTCCATGTTATATCACAGCACTCTCTGTCTCACTCTCTCCCACACTCCATATCACAGCACTCTCTGTCTCACATTCCATGTTATATCACAGCACTCTCTGTCTCACTCTCTCCCACACTCCATATCACAGCACTCTCTGTCTCACATTCCATGTTATATCACAGCACTCTCTGTCACACATTCCATGTTATATCACAGCACTCTCTGTCTCACTCTCTCCCACACTCCATATCACAGCACTCTCTGTCTCACATTCCATGTTATATCAAAGCACTCTCTCTCTCACTCTCTCCCACACTCCATATCACAGCACTCTCTCTCTCACTCTCATCCACACTCCATATCACAGCACGCTCTCTCACTCTCTCCCCCACTCCATTTCACAGCACTCTCTGTCTCACATTCCATGTTATATCACAACACTCTCTCTCTCACTCTCCCCCACACTCCATATCACAGCACTCTCTGTCTCACATTCCATGTTATATCACAGCACTCTCTGTCTCACATTCCATGTTATATCACAGCACTCTCTGTCTCACATTCCATGTTATATCACAGCACTCTCTGTCTCACTCTCTCCCACACTCCATATCACAGCACTCTCTGTCTCACATTCCATGTTATATCACAGCACTCTCTCTCTCACTCTCTCCCACACTCCATATCACAGCACTCTCTGTCTCACATTCCATGTTATATCAAAGCACTCTCTCTCTCTCTCTCTCTCTCACCCACACTCCATAACACAGCACTCTCTGTCTCACATTCCATGTTATATCAAAGCACTCTCTCTCTCACTCCATATCACAGCACTCTCTGTCTCACATTTCATGTTATATCACAGCACTCTCTGTCTCACATTCCATGTTATATCACAGCACTCTCTGTCTCACTCTCTCCCACACTCCATATCACAGCACTCTCTGTCTCACATTCCATGTTATATCACAGCACTCTCTGTCTCACTCTCTCCCACACTCCATATCACAGCACTCTCTGTCTCACATTCCATGTTATATCAAAGCACTCTCTCTCTCTCTCACCCACACTCCATAACACAGCACTCTCTGTCTCACATTCCATGTTATATCAAAGCACTCTCTCTCACTCTCTCCCACACTCCATATCACAGCACTCTCTCTCACTCTCTCCCACACTCCATTTCACAGCACTCTCTGTCTCACATTCCATGTTATATCACAGCACTCTCTCTCTCACTTTCTCCCACACTCCATATCACAGCACTCTCTGTCTCACATTCCATGTTATATCAAAGCACTCTCTCTCTCACTCTCTCCCACACTCCATATCACAGCACTCTCTCTCTCACTCTCATCCACACTCCATATCACAGCACTCTCTCTCACTCTCTCCCCCACTCCATTTCACAGCACTCTCTGTCTCACATTCCATGTTATATCACAACACTCTCTCTCTCACTCTCCCCCACACTCCATATCACAGCACTCTCTGTCTCACATTTCATGTTATATCACAGCACTCTCTGTCTCACATTTCATGTTATATCACAGCACTCTCTCTCTCACTCTCTCCCACACTCCATATCACAGCACTCTCTGTCTCACATTCCATGTTATATCACAGCACTCTCTCTCACTCTCTCCCACACTCCATATCACAGCACTCTCTGTCTCACATTCCATGTTATATCACAGCACTCTCTCTCTCTCTGTGACTGTCTCTCTCACACTTTCAATGTCACACCACACTCTCAGTCTCTCTCTGTGGCTATCTGTCTCTCTCACTCACTCACTCACTCCACGTCTTAGTCTCTCTCTCTCTGTTTCTCTGTGGCAGTCTCTCTCTGTGTCTCTCTCAGGCTGTCTCTGTAGTAATGTCTGAGACCCAGGTGATGTATGGGCAACAGTCAGTATGTCTGTCTCTCTCACTCCATGTCTCAGTCTCTCTCTCTCTTTGAGACACTGGTGATGTCTCGGCAGTCAGTCTGTCTCACCTGCCCTGTCCGGGCTGCCTCTCAGTCTCTCTCCCAGGCTCTCTC